GTCGAGACTTTTCTGGGGATGTCTCCCTCTGCTGTTACTCAGGGGACGCGCTGTGAGCAGCATGCTGTATTCAGGGGTGCTCTGACAATGAGAGATGCATTCAGGTGCGCTCAGAAACGGGAGATGCGGGAACAAAAATTTAAGCTGTACAGACCGTTACATGTTCAAATAAGATGTCGCAGATGTCCTTCCCATTCCTGATCACATGTTTGTATCTTTATGTCAAAATTACACTATCCATTTAACATCGCAACATCAAGTACATTAACTTAATGGTTTCCCACTACAATGATGGTCTTCATAGCCTCTTAAATGCCCTGGCTCCCTTTTTAAAAACCCGGACTGTTTCCTTCACCCACTCTGCTCCATGGTTTATGCCTGAACTCTGCCAACTTAAAACAAAAGGCCGTCTCCTGGAACGTCTCTACAAGAAAACTGGACTTGTTATTCACATAGAAATATACAATAACCACATTCTCCATTAAAAGGACAGTCTCTCTACAGCCAAATCAACTCATTACGCAGGTATCATCAGCTCAGGTGAAGAGAATATAAGGATTCTCTTCTCCATGGCCAACAAAATACATTGACCACCGGACTCTCTTGCTCCTCATCTGTACTCAACCGCTTATTGTAACTCTCTGATGTCATTTTTTATTGCCAAAGTAGACAAGATTCACCAGCACCTGACTCCTAACATCTCACCTCTCCCAGTCTTCTTACCCCCTCTCTCTCACACACTTTCAAGTTTCAAACTTCCTTCTCTTGTTGAAATATTTGACCTCATTCGGAAATCAAAGCCATCTACCTGTCTATTAGACCCTCTTCCTACTGTACTGGTTAAAGCCTGCTTACCCCTTTTGTCTTCCCTGATAATTGTCATCGTACATTCCTCCCTCACCTCTGGTCTTGTTCCCATTTCTTTCAAATCAGCTGCAATAACCCTTATACTTAAGAAACCTGGTGCAGGCTCAAACTTTGTCTTTCCCTGTATTTGTCTTGCAGGTTCGAATCCTTCACGCCTGTGGGTTCAGTGTGTTGCTGACCAGCTACACACACTCTGCTGTGGACAACATCCTGCTGAAGCTGAAGAGGTTCCGGGTTGGGTTCCTGCGTCTCGGGCAGGGGCAGAAGGTGAGCTGTTGTTGACATTGGTATTCAAAAAGTAAAGGAAATAACTATTCACTTCCAAAATGTATTTCATAACATGGACTTTAAAAAGCTATTTTAGCAACTAAAGCTATCCTGAGTATAACAAAAATCACTTAAATATCTTAGTTCCATAATCATTTGAAGTTGAAAAATAAGTTCACATCAAGTCTAGATCTCTTGTTTTGTTCCTCAGTGTTTGCCACTCTGAACCTCTCTGATTTCTCTTTTGCTTTCTGACACCTTTTCAGGTTCATCCCGACATTCGGCCTTACACAGAGGAAAGTTTGAGGAAAAAGGGAGTTCACACACTGTCAGAGTTGGAGCAGCTTTACAACAAGGAGGTGAGGAGTAAATATTCAGCATATCATTGCCACAGCTTCAGACTTTTCCTGATTGATATACAAATGTGCCAGGCTTTTTAAATGTTGAAATCTGATCTCAAACTTGCTATTATTATAAAGATATGTAACATGTAAATCTTTGAACTTAAAACTTCTAAATGAAAAAATGTAACATCAACAACCCAATTCTGCTCCTCTCTCTTTTCCAGCTGGTTGTGGGAACCACCTGTATGGGCATCAAACATCCCATTTTCACCCGCCGACGCTTTGATTACTGCATCGTAGATGAAGCTTCACAGATCAGCCAGCCAATCTGCGTGGGACCCCTCTGCTACGCCAAGAGATTTGTCCTGGTCGGGGATCATCAACAGCTGCCACCAATAGTGCAAAATCAGGAAGCTAGGTAAAGTATGTGTTTGTGTAAAAAAAACAAAAAAAAAACATGTTCATATTTCTACAAATCGAAATGAATAACTTTAAGTTGTTTTTCTTGTTGAGGGTCAACCACAAAACCCTGCTCATAAGTGTCTGTTTAAATTCAAGGTTTAGCATGTAGCTAATATTGTAGCTTCAGTTTGATTTGTAATGCTAAATAAGAGAGAGTCATTAGTAAGAGCAGTTGTATGTTTCTTTATGTTTTCCTGCAGGTCACTTGGGATGGATGAAAGTCTGTTTAAGCGACTGGAGCTCCATAGTGAAGCAGTGGTCCAACTGAATGTGCAGTACAGGATGAACAGGTAAACCTTCTAAACACACTGACAGTGTCTTTTTATTTTTAACAATATGTTTATTTAGTTTTAAAAACATTTTAAAGACACACAATTACAAGTAGATAAATCTACCACTGTTTTTCAAAGTTAATGCTATTGTTCTTTTAGCCTGCAATATGCAGAGGTCTACAAAGACCCGGGTCAGACTACGTCCTTTTGGGTAGATACCAAGAAGAAAAAAACTTAGGTTCTACAACTAATTGAAATGATAACAACTACTGCATTACACTTCTGACTTCATCCCAAAATCCTTTAATTTTTGGACATTTCCATACGCAATGGTAAAATGTACCTTTGTCCTCCCCACACCTGTTACATAGGTCTGGGATGTTGGGGTTAAATTTGTGAAGACTCTCATTAACCAATTGTTAAACATGTGTTAGCTGTTTGAGTCTGTGCTAATGGCAGTGTCTTTTGTTATCAGCTCATCATTAAGGCTCTTCTACCAATACATGAGAACACAAGGCTTCAGTTTGTGTTTGTAAAAAACATTTGGTGACTAAAGCAACACATTAAACTTCATCATATAAACTTTTACTGAATACAATCTGAATTTCCCAGTCCTGCTTTGGCATTACAGAAAAATCTTAACTCTATCGACATGACAAATGCATAACAAGATGGTAAGACTCAGAAGCATTGCCCCTCCATAATAAAGGGTGTGTGTGTGTGTGTGTGTGTGTGTGTGTGTGTGTGTTTTAGGCAGATCATGTCTCTCAGTAACTCCCTGATGTACGAGGGCCGACTGGAGTGCGGCTCCGAGAGGACAGCCGAGGCTCTGCTCACTCTGCCCTTCTTGCTCTCTGTCCAGTCGGAGCTCAGGTCCTGCTCTGACACTGATCCACAGCACGACCTGGCTTGGGTGCAGGCCACGCTGTTGTCTAGCAACCCTGTTTGCTTCCTAGATTGCTCAATGGTTGGTAGAATTTGCATTGCACTACAGGTTTTCTATAAGGTAGAAATGACAGAGAGGTTGGACCTAAAAATTTGAATTCTAAATAAAAGGTTCTAGCTGCTGTGTAAATACAGGTTTTGTTACTGCAGTCAAACATCCACCTCCACAAGTTTGAGTTAAATGGAAATGTAAAAGTTCAAAAGGAGGTACGTGTTTCAGCTAGTTTTAGCTCAGATGATCTGAAGAGTGTTTATTAGTTCTACTTCTTGTAAAAGGTTAAATATACAAGTCATCTGCTTTACAAATAAGGACATTGTTATAAGTAAAGACTTTAGATGTGTTGTGCTCTTTCATCTTTTTTTTTTTTCTCTTCTGCCTGCTTCAGGTGCCAGCACTCGAGTCTGTGGAGCAAGGAGGTGTTAGCAATCACACTGAGGCAGCTCTCATACACAAGTTGCTTTCATTGCTGATAAAGGTATGACATGTTTATAACAGATGTATATTGAAGTGTTTTGTTAAGTCTGGCTTGGTTTTTGTGTGCGTCATGAGTATTTTAATTCAGTGGATAAAAGTAGAAGAGGTGTGAAAACAAAGACATATATGCAGTTGCAGTTTATCGTACTGCTTATTTTTCTCTCTTCAGGCTGGATGTAAACCCAGTGACATAGGTGTCATCGCCCCCTACAGACAGCAGTTAAAGAGCATCTCTGCTCTGCTGCAGTCCTCATCTTTCACTGGTGTGGAGGTGAACACAGTGGACAGATATCAGGGACGAGACAAAAGTCTGATCGTTTTTTCTTTTGTCAGGAGCACTGCAGAGGAGGGACATGTAAGTGTTTCTTGTCTCGTCATGTTTTCTTTTCTTTTTTTTAAACTCCTCTTCCTCCTCCTTTCTTTGTGCTTAATTCTCTGCATGAACAAGCAAATAAACTACTGATTCTCACAGTTAGGAGAACTGTTGAAGGACTGGCGTCGCCTGAATGTGGCCATCACCAGGGCCAAACACAAGCTGCTGATGGTGGGCTCTGCCACAACACTGCGCCGCTACGCTCCTGTGGAGAAACTTCTGAACCATCTCCAGCAGGAGAACATGATATCCTTTAAATACAAGTTAAAAGACGGCGCTGTCACTGAATTTATTTTTTTCTTTATTGTAATACAAAATATGACACTAAAAGCCATATATTGTTAGATTGGTAACACACTTCTTACTTTGCTACTGTTCTGCAGTTTCATCTTGGCATGCAATTGAATTAAAAGTCTGATGAACAGCAAGTCATCAATGTTTAAACAAATGCTGGACGTGTCTACAAAACTGCTTCAGTGTAACATGTCACTGTCACAATTTTACGTTACATGTATTCAGTGTCTTCAGTTTTTTTCCTTAACGCTAACTTCACATTATTCATCTCCCGCCGGCTGCCCACAAAGCCTTACCGAGCGTGTCCCTGTGATTGAAGTCTGTGAAGCCATGCTGCTGTTCCATGATGCCAGTATCTCCTCAGTCTGCAAAAACACTGAATGCCAAGGGTCTGTGATCAAACATAAGAGCATTTATTGTTTTTATTTCTGTCTTTTGGGATAAATAGTCTATTAAAATGCTCTTAATGGAATATGCAAACCTACAATCCCTTCCTATCACCTTACGTCACAGCTCCTCCTGTTATTTAGAGTTCCCCCCTACGAGTGTCACTGGAGATCTACTTAAGGAGACTGTTTCTCTTCTAGGTTTTGTAATAGATAAAAGTCATTATTTTATAAAGAACTCGACATGACTGTTAGCTGAACACTATTTAGCAACTTATGCCATTTCTGCACATTGGCAGATCTACAGACGGTCTGTTTTGACTTGAAAAATGTTCACTGACATGAGTGGAGGCTGAAGGCCAGTCCTCATGAACGTGATCCAAGACTGAACCTCAACAAGCTTTGTGAACGAGAGACCTTCCAGCCACAGCTTTGTACAAAGACGCTTATCAGTTTTCAATGCAAAATACTTGATATTGATGCTATGAAATATGAAATTGAGAAACTAAACGGCTAATGTAGAGTCACACAAGAGTACTTTAAACCTCTGGTACAGCTAAACTGACACTGATGGATGAGGGTACGGAGCCTCAACACTCATTTAAGATTATTTACTGTTTATTAACTTATAGTTTCATCTGACTCGACTCCTGGTGCTTTCCGTGATCCTTTACAAACCAAACCAGTTTTGTTTATAGTTAAGTGTCAATGGACTACAGTGCTTAAATAAGCTCTGACATTTCTTGCAGTCGGCTGAATGTCAATGTACGGATGAAAAACCTGAGTCTGAAAGCTGAAAAGTAAAGCTGTGATATAATAACACGACATCTCGTACTATTTTAAGTCTGAACTACATTCTTTATTTTACCATCTAAAACTTGAATGAATGTTGTGTGAAGGGAGAGGTGATTACTGCTTTGTCTGATTTCTTATAAAGTGGATCAACTGATCGTCAATGATAACAATGACTAAGTTGAAGGCACTTCACTTTATTTATATACTTCAGTAAAAAACTGAAAAAATGGTTTAGAAGCATTTTGTTTTTTATTCAAAAAAGGTGGGTTACTATCTGTAATAGAAAATGTCAAGTCATACCATATTTTTCTTTTTTTTTGTTGAATTACTTTGCATACAGCAGAATATAAGATCAGATCTGTTCAGACAGAAGGATCACAGAAAGAATCTTTGGTATCATAAAACAATGTTGTTGGAAACTACACTATCTACTTTCACCATCTGCACATGCTAATGAGCTGGGATTATTTCACTGTTGATTAACTTCCTGTGATGAAAGCACCAGAAAGTGACCAGAGTAACTGTGATTCTGCCTGTGATTGGTTGAATGCAATATTTCAATGCTTTGTTTGTGTTTTGTTTTTGTCTCTTAATGTGGTGATGATGTTGTGTTTTATGAATAAATAATTCCAGTACAAATAAAGTTTGAGCTCCTTGTTCCATCCTGTAATATGTTGGCATGAGTGATGTTCTAGTAGTTATAATCGATCTGGAGGACATTGTTTTATTTTATTTGAACCACCTTTCATCAAATGAGCTACATAACTATGTTCCATCATCCATGGCCCTCTCCTTTGCGTGTGTGTGGCTACAGTGTGATTGTTCCCTGCAGTACAAAGACAGCATGTCCAGCTATGTTGATTCTTCCGTCCTCTCTCACTTCTAGTTCCAGCTCCCCGCCTCGTCGAGAGCACTGGTAAGCTAGACAAAAAAACACACACACACACACACACACACACACACACACACACAGGACAAAATGAGTATCAGTTACTTCATTTCTGACCTTAATTGTTTCATGGCTTACTGAATTTGAACTAGTTGAGAGTTGCACAAGTGAGAAATTACGATACTGAATGATCATATTACCCAGCAGTTTCTTCTTTCCCAGTTTCTTAGACCAGTAACTTCCTAGCACAGTGTGGGCAGAACCTGCAGGGACATTAATAACATCTACTGGCACATTTCACAAGAGGCACATTGTAAGTTTACATTTTCAACTCAACTGCATGACAGTCAAACATCTGCAGTCTTGGTCAAAGAGTTTGTTTTTTTTGTTGTTATTTTACAAAACGTGTTAATTTTATGCAAATATTCAGATTTCTTAAAGTTTGCGTAAGGATCTTAAATTTGTGTTGATCATGGTAAGACCTGTGGACTAAGCAGTTCCTCTTATCTCTTTGCCTATCTGGTCCTATACATCCCTAAGTATTATTATGTAATGAAGAAATACTCCTGTCTTTTCATTATCAAATCTACTTCTTAACTTTCCTTTGCTGTAGTTTAATTGACTGAGTCAATGAATTCCAAACAAATCCTATATTCACATGAACGCTGGCGAGCCAGGTGAACATACTGAGACCATGACAACAGTTGCATACCTAGTGACGTTTGTGTTACAAGTCTCACAACACTCTAGGGTCACAACAGTACAACTGTCTACATTTAGAAAATTGTAAACAAAGGTTGTTTCGACAGCGTGCTATTCTGCCCCTCGTGTTGGCACAGATCCAGTGGTAGTGATTTCAGGCATTGACTATAACTTGACAGAAATAATTATGTTCTTCCTTATGGGCTGGATTATGTCATATAGAGACAACTGTATTATTAAAATCTCACAAGAGCCTTAATTATTAAAAACATCATAATTTACATACTTTGACAATTCAAGCCATTTGTAGAATCACATGATATCACAATGTAACCCAACAAAGATGGTCTGTCTGTGTCCATTAGTATGGGCTGTATGAGTAGGGGTCTACCTGTGACTGGATCCTCAGGGATGCCATTCCATGGGGAAAAATATCTAGAGTAGAAGTCGTATCCTGGCTGGCAGTCTGGGGATCCTATTGACAGATAAAGAAGACTTTAAAGGAGAGGCAGTTTAATCAAACATGGCTAGACGTTTCATACAGCAATGCTCTGTTATCATGTTGTATATTGAGGACATTATGATACAACAGAGTCACTACTGAAAGTACCTTTCATAGTGAGGATTAGTCCTTTAACTCTCCCGCTCCTCTCACTGCTCTGAAGAGCCACAGGGTCAACCTTCAGACTGGTTAGCACTGACCTTGAGAAAACACACATGCAGCACATGAGCCAAATAACACAACAACGTTCTAGCTCATCCAAGATTGTCCCTCAACTTCAACCCGAGTCTGTCCATCTGTTTGTGAGTGTGTGTTATTATAACCTGTCACAGCTGTCAGCCAGTCGAACCATAAGTTTCTTGGTGTTGGAGCACAGGTAAACATCCTGGATTGGGTGATTTCCCACTGCAGCCTTTATCAAACATGCAGGAGCAGAGAGAAGGTTCACTATGTACACACACAATCACGCTTGTATATGGATAAAGGGTTTAAGTAGACAGTGAAACAGGAATCTGCCCTACGAATCTGCATTCACAGATGGGTTTGACTGACCTTGATGATGTCTTTAAAGTCATTGGGATCCTGAGTAATCATGTTTTAGAAAGGGAGAAATCAGAGTCAGGATAGCAAATATGAGTGATGCAGCTTTGAGTTAAAGTGTTGTAGGACGGTTGGAGTGTGTTTTGGGTTTCAGAAAAGCTGTGAGTTTAACAGTGATGCTGATTGAAATAGGGTTGTGATTGATGAAAAGAATGAACAGTACTGACTGAAATGGGGAGGTTCATCATAACGTTCATCGTGTTCTTTTATTTTAGGGGCCCAATAAAAATGGGTTAATTATGATTTCATATCTTTCAGGCCATACAATGCATACTACACTAAATGACAAAAATATACAAGATAGGAATGAATGTGGAAGGTAAACCAGGATCGCCTGGTTCTGCTACTGTATCATGATGTAATGATGAAGGACACAGACTGTAGACAGAGACATAGTGTACCTCCTGGGCAGGCGGATTAAGAGGAAAGTCCATGATGTACCGCTCGCCCTGCTGGGTGACAGCCAGGTCTCCACTCCTGGTCTCAAACACCAGTACAGAATTCTCATTTTCTATCAGACATAGCATACGCAAATACAATTTAATGGTCAAAGAGCGGCTGGTGAGCTAGCTTTATTCAAGTGTTTACATGTTAAAAACAATTACGGGAGTGAAAATGCTTCTTTGTGTGTATTTCCTAGTTTTCCAGACAAGGTCAATGCATTGACTGTTTTAAATATTAATTTAAGCCTGATTTACTGATTTACTTTGTGTTTGTTCTGTGTCTTACTCTTACTCTGGAACAGCACTGCTGCAGAGGCCAGAGTTGCATGACCACACAGATTCACTTCATTGGTGGGTGTAAACCATCGAAGGCGGAACCTTGATCCTGTTAAACACATCCCACTGTCAAAAAGATTCTTAACTCCACAGTTATCTGAAACAGCTGAAAGAAAATAGTTAACTTTAAATTCAGCAGCAGTTCACCTCATAAATCAAGTTTACCAAATCCAGCCAACACTATCACCACTGTTTGAAAATAAAATGTTGATGAGTTGTAATAAGTGATCAATGACATATTTCTTAGATGGGAGGTACTACATACATGCTTTCATTACACTAAAATACTAATCCTTTGATAATACCAAACTTAAGTCTTTTGCTTAACGTCACTTAAATGTCAAATGTTTTTCCAAATGTAATATCTAGCGACATAGTTTAGATTCTTAAGTGGTGGACAAAACAACTAAATGACTGCTCACTGCATTTTGAACTGTCACAGCTCATTGCATTGTTCTCCTCCGTCACAACAATGCAACTCTTAGCTGTGTTTTGAACAGTGTTAACTGCTGAGGACATGCTTTTTTCATTTTGTGCACACACAAGAACATGCAAACCAAGCTCAGTTCAACTGTAAAGAGGTCCACATCTTACTATGTAACAATAATGTCTTAAAACATGGTCTAAAATGTTGCTCCTTTATTAACTTTCTTAGCAGTATTTGTGATTAAAAAATGAAATTATGCAATTGTAATATGTTAAACTGATAATATCTTACCTGTTGTGAAATTGTCAGAGGGGTTGATCTTGGTGATGAAGGCTGTTTCTGCCAGGTTCATCTCTGTAGCTATCTTCTGATATAAGTCATCACTCAGCTCCTGATAGACACATGATACACAAGACACACACACAAAACTAAATATTATTGTCACACGAAATAAGAATAAATAATCTAAACAGCCTTTTTTTTTTTTTTTTTTTGCATGTCGGTGGTTTATGTTGAAGTGAATTATAAAACACACTAGAGACCAAAACTTGCCAAATCTATTGACTGTACAAGTCCGATTATCATGGTTCAAGCAAATGCACAAAGCCCTCTTCTGCAGATCGTAACATTATGCCTACTTTGTTTAACCAAAATATTCTTACTCACATGCAAAAGTGGACAAACAGCCGCGGGGTTACCTTTGAAAGGTAAATTGGTGAAGGCATCTACCGTAAATACTGAAATCTCCATTGTACACTGTAAGCGGGGTTGAAACTGAAGTTTCCACTGAGGACGATGTGGACTCTGTTGTCTCAGTGCTGTCAGCGGACTTTACCCTGTTAGTTTGGTGACAGCAGACGCCCCCCAGCGTCAGTCTCTCATCTATGGAGGACGAGATCTGACAAGTAGGAATAAATGTAGAAATACATTTAAGACATTTAATTATTTATGTCCCATTTATTTACCAGTTTTTATTTATTTATTCACGCATTTATTTATTTATTTATTCAATACTATTTATTTATTCCAGTATTTCTTTATACATTTATTTATTTATTTATACTTCTGTCAGATCTCGAGTATAGTAGGCTATATAATTTGCCCCTAGATTTGAGATTTAGCAGCTTGGCTGGTTGACACTCATTAATAGGTCCAATCAACCAATGCCAGACAGATCTATAATTACGGTGTCTAGACAACGTGTAATTCATTTATACATTTTTGATAATGTTCATATAAAAAGTTCGCATGGTTGGTAATTTTATTTAATGACTCAAAGCTAGTCGGCCTATAACATTTAAAATGTGGGCTGCTTTATAAAGCCAAATATAACAAAAGTTTTCGGATTTTTAAGTGATTTGAAAAGCTTAAAAAATAATTTCTTTACCAAATCACAATATGACTCGGTCATTGAATAAGCTCCTCAAAATAATACTTTTATTAGGCTGTGCAAAAACTACAGTAAATATATTTACTTCAACTCCCCTCATAAGTATAAGTCTACCTCCTATAATAGGTCAAATATAAAATGGACATTATTACTTTTACTACTTTTTGTTTTTGTGTTTGCTATTTATTTGTTTTCCAACTCTCGCGAGAACATGGGCTACCTGTGCTGGTTTGCTGGAAGTGACACCTGAGGCTCGGGACAGGAGCAGGAGACGTGGGACAAGAGACGACTGTAAGCTATTTTCATAGTTTTCTGACATTTCTTGTATCGGACTGACACATTTGTATCAGAGAACCTGTTTTGTCGAACAGTGACAGTGTACGACCTTTGGGAATTGAACCAGTTTGCCTTGTACGTTTGACCGCTGACAGTCCTCCCGTTAGCATGTAGCATGTAGCCTGCTAACTGTTATCAAGCTAACATTAGCACCATTAGCTCACTCGCTGTGAAGGTTGAACTCTATATATAACATCGCTTCTGGTGAAGTTCAGAGATGTAACTTCACCAGTGGAAATATACCGTCTTGTTGTCAGGAAACCTTTGGAGATTTAAACGTGAGTAGAAGTGTGACCGAGGTTACGTTTGTTATGACAACAATTAGACTTTACAACCAAAACAACCAAAGAGGAAGTAACTAATGTTTATGTTAGCGCCTTTAACTAGTGTAACAACTACACATAACTCACATTATAATGCTTCATTCTTGCATATATCATATGGTTTTAAGTCTAGGTACACTGTTTCTTCTTTAAAAAAGGCAGACAGAAATATAAAGACTTTGTAATGAAAGTGTTTATGAAAGGTGCAACTTGTGCAAACTTTGTTCATTGTTGAGTTAAGACTAGGCAGGGCAGACATGCAGCACGGCTTCATTTAATGTTGACAATTGGTGTGTGTGTCTTTATTTTTTTAATAAATAAAAGACATTTACACAGTAATTTGAAGTGTTGCTGCTGTATTGTGCTGTCTGAGGGGGAGAGGATGTCTCTGAATGAAGAGGGTTATGTTGTCCGGATCAGAGGACTACCCTGGTCCTGCACACAGGAGGAGGTTGCCAGTTTCTTCTCAGGTGAGAGTACACACAGATTTCACTATAGCTTGAGGCTTGAATATATTGTAAATGAGTGTAAGACTTAAATGACATTTAAAAGACATACTCTATTGTGTGTTAAAAGTATGTTGATTCCTGGCTGCTCATCCATCTTAGTGGTGATGTGAATAAAAACATTTGTCAGATTTAATTCTACATTCTTCTAACTGCTCAGATACAATTAAATGAAGTTTGTCCACCGTTATTACTTTATGCCAGAAAATGTCCATGAGTAGGCATCAATTACAAAACAATCTTGTGTATTCTTACTTCTTTACAGACTGTGACATCGTTGGGAAAGTGAATGGAGTGTGTTTCACCTACTCTAAAGAAGGCCGTCCCAGTGGAGAGGCATTTATTGAGCTTATAACGGCAGAGGATTTCAAGAATGCCCTTTCCAAGGACCGTAAATACATGGGACACAGATACATAGAGGGTAAGAAATAACCATCGTAAGGGAATGACACAACATTGAGTGTTTACCCTGTGTGGAGTTAGGGTTAGGGACATAATATTACATTACTGATACAAAAGTAAAAGTGCAACCTACTCATGCATATTATATTAGCCCACCATGGAGGTGATGTTGCCCGTGTGTTTCCCATGCATGTAAAGAATTGTTTTGTTTTTGTTAAATTGATTTCCTCTACAAAAACACATTTCCCAGACAGTATCTGAACAATATATTACCCGTACTGTAGTGTGATTGTGACATGTCTCTTTCTGTTCTAAATCAGTGTTCAAGTCTAACCGCAGTGAAATGGACTGGGTGCTGAAGCGTAGCGGTCCTGCCGACTATGACAGCTGTAGTGGCTGCATGCTGAGACTCAGAGGCCTTCCCTTTGGCTGTAGCAAGGAGGAGATTGTTCAGTTTTTCTCAGGTATAGACATGATTGCACTTTAAAGTCCTGTCTGTGTTCTCCATTTAATTGAACTGTAAGTCTTAATGAAAGTTACACCATATGTTCTTTTTAACAATTACTTTAATTTTGGGAGAGGGTGATCACAAAACTGCAACTAGATTTTTAATATTCAGTGGAACATTTTAACTTGCTATGTAAAAAATAAAAATGGGAAAAAACACCAAAAGAAATACCTGATGCATGCAAGCATATAAACAGCCGATTAATCAACAGTCAGTGTTGAATTTTTAAATATATATATATATATATATATATATATATATATCACATAATATGCCTTGAAAGTATTCATTCAAATAAGAAAAATCTTGTAAAATAAGTCTTTGACAAAGTCAACATGTAAGCCTCTTTTACGTATGCACTCCTGATAAATTTCGAGAGAATTTCAGGAGGATGGTCCCTGAAATCCTCCTGATTTAGTTGTTTGATCTCGGGGAATAAACTTCACCACCCACTCCAACTCACTCGAAGTGAATTCTCCAGATTATATTCTGCTGCACATCACACCAGCTCACTCAGACTTCATGTGGACAAATATTAGGGGGCTGGCAGGAGAAACTCCTTTATAAGTTTGAGGGAAAAATTCAGCTGTTTGCGTTCACACATTTTTTGTTTTTTGCAAGTTTACAAGGCTATAGTTTTTTTCTTTGTTCAAGGTCAAGTAGTACTTTCTATAAAACATATTTAGAACTTACATCAGACTATAGTGTCTTTAAAAAAAATTCTGTTTTCAAGTTTTTGTTTTAGTTTTATTCGCACAACAGTTAACTTTACAATTGCCAGCTCCTTTTTAAACTTTACCTCTGTTCCAGTAAATGTTTCTTTTACTGAATTATTAAAAATCTAAAGTGTGACCAACTGCATTCTGAATTTAGCACAATTTCATAAAACAAAGTGGTATTTATGTGACTATTAGTCACTCATCATGTCTGTCTGTCATAGCTTATAGGCAGGCAAAATCTATATTGTCCTTGCAGTATAGTCCTCCTGTGTTGACTTATGTGTTATATATTAGTGTTACTTAAACACATTTATTGAATTTATGTTTGTGCTCTAAGACCATGTTATCATGTGTCCTTAAAGACGGTTAAAAGACAGGACAGACTGGGTTGGTTTGTCAGAAGGTAGACAGTCCCATGACACTGATCTGGGGTCAGTTTTATGCTTACCGGCAGCCTTCATCTTCATGTAATTTTTAGTGTCATTTACTGCTAATAACTGATCATTTAGACCTAAATTAGATTTTTTTTACTAAGAAAATTGATCGTCTACATACACATTTTAAAAGTCTAGCTGCTCACTCCAGGTCGCTTTATATTTCCCTGTTCTAACTAGGCATATTATAGGTGAAAAATCAGTCCCCTGAAATGCCCCTTTTTAATGCAGTCTCATCAGAATACACATCCCATGTTTATTTGCTGCCATGACATGTATTAATCCTGAAAGCTACAGTGATTCAGTGGGTGTTGTTCTATTTATTCTATACATCTATGAGTCTACCTACCGACCTATGTATTTATGTGTGCTTGGGTTGAAGGGTTGAGAATCGTGCCAAATGGGATTACTCTGCCAGTGGACTACCAGGGGAGGAGCACAGGGGAAGCCTTCGTGCAGTTTGCCTCAAAGGAGATAGCAGAAAAGGCTCTGGGGAAACACAAGGAAAGAATAGGGCACAGGTGGGACAGACGGGAAGAGGACGGGCTGGACTGGGTTTGGCTTCTGTTGTAGTATTTAATGGGTGGTCTTATTAGAGTAATTATGGTTTTAATTGGGTGGTGATGTGAAGGTTAAATGAAAAGCATGGGCTGGTTTGCAAGACAAATTATGGTAAAAAGACTATGAAGCGGGTACATTTATTGGGTGGGCCCTTTGACTAGGGGTGGGTCATGTAACATTTGTTAAATGCTAATGGGATGGGTTTAATGGGTTTTTGTATTGAAATAACGGTGACATCTTGACTTGTGGGATGAAAAGGGATGTATCTATCTAAAAGTTAAAGATGGTGTGAGTAACAGTTATAATGTATGTCATCCTTGTCCTGGGAGCTCTATTTAATTGTGTTAGAGCAACATTGGCACTTTCTTTCATGTTCTTACTCATTTTATTAATTGATAATTTGCTATGAACAGGGAATTAAGTGAAGAGGTGTAGCACAGGGCATACAAGTTCTAACCGTTAAATCAGAAATGCAGCATCTTAAAAGGATTTTCTTTACTGTCAGTAACAAAAGGTGAGGTTGGTGTAGACATTTTTAATGACAACCCTTAGTCCAGCTAATGATGAGATTCTGTTGAGGTTGTTCAATGCCTAGCCACTCAGCTTCATGTTAAGAAAGCCCTATTTAGATACTAGACACTATTCATATTTGTGTATGTAAACCAAACTCAGCCATTTCTACACCTTAACTCTCTACTCCGTCCCCCTCCACCCACTGGGCATCTCATATTTCAGGTATATAGAGATTTTTAAGAGCAGTCGTAATGAAATCAGAGCCTACTATGAGCTGCCCCGGCGTGGGATGGGAGCCCAGAGACCAGGCCCATATGATAGACCCATGATGGGAGGCCCCAGAGGAGGCTTTTTCGGGTCAGGGCCTGGCCGTAGTGGGGCTCTGATGGACACAATGAGGAGCGGAGTTAGCTACGGAGGTGGTAAGCACAGTTCTTTTTCTGATTATGAAATATTAATACTTTTTTTTTAATCAGGCAGGTGCCTGTTGTGTGTGTTCAGTACATGTGAGTGGAAAGGTTATACTTGTGCTACATGTCTCTGCATTATGCCAAATGAATCATGTGACAAACAAGCAGTGATGTGAACAAAATCATGTCAAACTCAGATACAGACAAGTTGGGACATTTAAACTTTGGCCCACATTTAAAATTAGACATTTATTTTCTAGCATCTTAAATCTCTCACTTGTTAACAGTTGAGTTTGCATAAATGTGTATTTCCTGAGGATGGAATGTTTTTACGATGTATTTGTTTATTTCTGCCCTGTTCGAGTTTCATATTGATTTCTTTGATTAAAAAAAAAAGGGAAAAAAAAGGGCCATCTGAGATATTAAACAAAAAAAAGTGAATCAAAAACATGCTGGTGGATGTATGGAAAACCCGACAGGTGTAATTACTGTCAACCCATCCACATTGAGGCCAGTTTTACTCTCCTGTTGAACAGTTTTTCAGTCCTGCTTCTCTGTTTGGAGCCGTCAATGATTTAAAAAGTGTTTCAACTGTATTTGAGTTTTTTAGGGGTTACATTACTGTTTGATTTTGACTCTAATGCTGTTCTGTTGTCTGTCTGTAGGTTATGGTGGCTTTGACGGCTACAATGGTTTCAACAACTACTGTTTTGGAAACGGCATGTTTGATGAGCGAGTGAGAGGCGAAAGGGGAGGACGAGGTAAAGTCCAATAATGATTTACTCTTTAGCCTTTGATTAAGTCATGAGCTGAGTTAATGTTTGAAAGCCTGTGTTTATTCATTAATCAGCTTAGCAACATCCCAGCTTCAAAGAATGATCATTTTGTTTCCATTTTTAACGCTCAAAATCCTCATCTAAACATTTGAAGTTTTACATTGTTGTCCATAATAAAAACAAGGTAAAATGTAGTTTTGTAAAACATTGAGAAATCTTCTTAAAGCCTCTGAGAAGTTTGTCCAAACATTTTTATTTGCTTGTGAAAGATGACTTCTCTCCTTCATGACTAAATGAGTTGATGTGTCGATGTGTTTGTGCTCAGGCATGGCCAGCCAAGGTTACAGTGGTCAAGCCGATGGCTGTTCAGGGTTCCATAGCGGCCATTTTGTCCATATGAGAGGGTTACCTTTCCGCGCCACAGAGGGAGACGTTGCTAAAGTAAGAACTCTAACACACAAAAACACTGACATCGGTTACATAAATAATTTATTTTGAAAAATGGCTCTCTTCAGGATAACTGCAGGGGCTGACATAAAAAACAAGACCTTAGGAAGTACTAAAGCTGATTTTAAATATTGTATATATATATATTGTTTGTTTTTATAATTATTGACAGTAGATTGTGATGCAGGAAGCTGTGCATGCATCTTTATCTGACAGGAAGAGAAAAACAAGTCACTTGTGCTCGCTGCAGTAGAAAGGAACTTATCAAGTAAAGTAATAACTTGAGGTGAGGTTAAAGGTTGTAAAACGTGATAGTTTGCAATGATCGGCCTCTTCATGTGTATAACCCTGTGATGATTTGTTGGATCTCTTTGTGTAGTTCTTCTCTCCTTTGAATCCACTGAGGGTCCACATCGACGTGGCTCCTAACGGCAAGTCAACAGGAGAAGCAGATGTGGAATTTCGCTCCCATGAAGACGCTGTGGCAGCCATGTCCAAAGACAAGAACCACATGCGTATGTCCTCTTTTTTCCTTTTTTACTTGTCCGTCCTTGTGTTGTACGCGTGACACCACTTTTTCATGCCATTAACACAAAGTTCATGACACAAGAAAACTTTGAAGTTGATAACAGAGGTGAGGATATTCACATGCTCACAGATAAGCAGCTTTGGGTTTGTCAGATGACTATGAGAACAAACTAAACCTTCTGAGAATTAGATGATCAGGAAATACCTTTCTTAAAGAGAGTCAGAATACAGACACACAAAGTATTCTCATATTGATTAAAATATTTGTATTATGAAAATGTGGAAAAATCTAAATGATTTGTTTTATTAAACAGGAGAAGAACAGTGAAACTAAATTACTAATATATTCTTTCTCCACAGAGCATCGCTATATTGAGTTGTTCCTAAACTCAACATCCAGTGGGGCTGCTGAGATGAGTACGTTGTCTTTCCCTTTCGTTTTAAATAAAGTTAATAAACTTCATTCGTTTTGGCGAGTAAATGAATTTGTACAAAATGATGATCTGAATGTCAAAACATCGACCTGTCTTTTTGAAATTCTTTCAGGTCGCAGTGGTGGTGGTTACTACGGTAACTCAAGTGGGGGCGGAGGCTCACGGAGCAGTGGACTGCGAGGTGCATACTGATGATGTCATCCCACTCCTCCAAATAATCCTGACGTGTGTCTCGTGTGTCTTTAGGCCGTTTGAATTCAGTTTCCAAGCAGGAGAGCTGATCTGAATCAGTCATTGTTGTGAGAGTCTTTTAAAAATAACAATTGTATAGCAGCTGCACTTCAACACCAGATATATCAACAAGCACTATCAATACACCATTCCTAAGGCACATGGAGAACAAAACAACTTATCAATATTGAAAAGTTGGGGCTGTTGTCAGTGCCGACCGTGATGGATGGATATTCTGGGAGATTCCTTGTTCATCTTGTTTTAAAAAGTTATAACTCAGTTCATGTTTTTTCAAATGAAAAAGTTAATTATCACCCATGATTTGAATAAGAAAAATCAAACGTTGTTTATCAGAGCTTTGAATAGTTTGAACTGAATGTGTTATTTTTCAGTGACTTTGTCAGGATGCACTTTAAATAGTTATGGCAAAAGATGCTCATCTGGAGGCACAGCAGGAAGTTGGCAAAACATTACACAGCTCTGTGGACAGGAGTAAAGATTTATTTTGAAATGTATTTAGTTTATTCTGGTTTCAACTGATTCTTCGAACATCTTGTTTCAGCAGAACTTTTGTTGAGCACAGATACAAACTGAGTTTCATATTCTCTTTCCTGCTTTGAACAGTTTGATACATGTGAGCCAGTGCGTGTTTTTTTATGAATGTTTTCACTGCTCATTTCAGAATTGAAAACTAAGTTGAATATTCTACTCTGAAAGAGTGGAAGTAAAATAAATTCTCTATATTTGAGCTGTAAGATGGCTTATACAGCTGTTGTACATTTTGCTGAATAAATTTTATATTTAATTCTCTTTGTGTCTCTGATGTGACTTTAGGAGGTACTGGTGTCATGAATGAAAACATCTGGAATATGAGCTGATTGTTAGGCTTCAACAGAGCACAGACCAGCCATCAGAGCAACAACAGTCAATGTCCTTAATTAAAATGAAAACATGAACAATTTTTTCTGTCACTTGATTTAATCAGAAACTGCTACACAGTCAAGGCAACATTTTGTTGGCAATAGTTGAACCATTCAACTGGCAGGTGTTATTAAATCAAAGTGCCACAGTGATTATCAACATGGTGTATTTACAACAATCAACACTGTACAAGTTCCCATGAAGGCTGGGAGGTTCAGAAGAGTGACACTGTACAAAAACATTCAGGCCTGAGTGCAGTTTAACATTTTGCCTATAGTACTCGATAATGATATGCTTTATTCGTGCTTTTTAAATATTAGCAACAGGAAAATGAACCCAGGCCTGTCCCGTCTCCATGAGGGAATGAATACTTCCAGTTCTTAAAAAAGGTTCAGGTTGTAAACATTGTTTTTAAGTACAAAACTAGAATGTGCAGTTAACTCACATCATTACCTGTCAATGAGGAACGTGCACTTATCAGTCATCAGCATTAGTTTGACATAAAGACAAAACTTGTCTCAACCTTGATTTAAAAAAAGTTTAACATCTCCCCTCTCAGGAATGGAGCAGCAGTAATATGTGGTTCTTCTATAATGTCTCCTTTAGCACATATTACAAAGAACTAAAAGTCAAAGTTCAACAAGTTCCTGGACTTCTTAAAGAAAAAAAAAATCATGTGCATAAAACAAAAATATAAATACTTATCTACACCTTCAGCAACATAGGATTGGCAAGTGTCCAATCATACTTTGTGGCGGTTTTCTCAGAGGTGAGACATTAAAAGTCTGTTCTTCTTCACACGTAGTCAGTGAAGAGGTCGTGTTGGGAGAAAGCTGTCAGTGGTTCAACAGAAGAGCTACCAGAGAGGAAAAAAATCAGATGCTTTTCTTGGTCCTTCAGGCAGCATAAACTGCATCAGTTTCTCCAAGAGAAACAGGAAATTTACCTTTAATCAAGACTGCTTCTTTGGCTAGTATAAGCGAGTGTTGCTCCGATCTCTTCCTCTATGCAGGAACCCTCTCGGTAAAAATGTAGTGCTTATTTTGGCAACAAGAGAAGCACATGTAGGTAATAAATGTCGCCTTTACACAGGCACAAATGGCATCAACACTTGCAAAAAAAACCCAAAGATTTTCAGTTTCTTCTAAAGGGGAACTAGTCTAGTCTTTGCATCAGCAAAGCACATCTGCCCCTAGCATTAGTTTGCAGAAAAGTTTCATTTAAACACTGAGAAGCATGGATGTTACTTTCAGGCTTTTTTTAGTCCGTCGGAGCAGAAGATGGCAGGCTACAAAACGTAATCTATGAGGTTCATGGTAAACTTTTGCAGCTATGACAGCATCACGACAAATACAGATGTTTTGTAGCACACTCTACCTCTTTCACTGAACAGTAATAAATATTCAATTTATATTTCAGTTTAGCATGTAGTGGTATTGACTTGTTTTTTTTTTGTGCCTGTGTAAATGCTGTCTTTGTGTTTGTGTTCACTGGAGGGTGTAGTAACAGTAACAAGGCCACAGTACTGAATGTATAAATGATATAATCTCTTCTGTTTACCTTCAGGCTGCATTGTGTAGCTGAACTGTACAGGGGGATTTATCAAAACCTTCCACCGCTGATCAGTGTCAGTACATGCTGAGGGTCCCCTACATCCATAACATAGGCTGTATATAATCAGTACGTTGTAGAACTGTGTATACATAATATTTATGTATTCATCTTTATATGCAGTCTAGGAGCCAAACTTTTTAAACCTACAAGGGTCTGTCTGGGTTTGAATGTGACTACCAGTGAGAAAAACAAAAGCTTACAGCTTCTGACAACTTCCATTACCGCCTGAACAGTCCAGCTGTTTGTTCCTGCTGTGCCCTGCCCAGTTCAATGTTTCACAGGAATGTAGAAATAATGTTGATTGTATTTTAAATTATGGGCACACATTGAATGTTTGATAATGTAGACGTATTTGTGGCCACTGCAATACTAAAACGACCCACTGTGCAAGTCTCTTTTCACCCAGGCCATGGATATTCATATTGACTGTAAATAAATTGTGTCTTCTGCTTCACTAAAAGTTTGATTACCAGCAGTAGTGATTGCTTACGATTTGACAGACCAGAGATTTGTCTTATATGAAGTTAAGACAATTAGGCTCACGTTATAGTAAACTAACAGAGCCCTCACATTCAAAACAAGGAAGTAGAATGAAACAATGAGGTCAGAATGATGCAGATGTTCCTCATAATTTGTCTGTGCAGGACAAAGTGTGCCAAGTGTACTAAATTTGGATTCACATGGTCTGTCTATAGCAGCAAACACTTTGTCAAGATAAGTTGCGTTGTGGATCTTGCAAAGGACTGAAGTGATTTTTGAGTCTGGTCTCAGATTGTTTGAGGCAGTGTGGCACTCCTTCATGTTGGATTGGAGGAGCATCTCTGTAGGAGGAGGGCGTGGCAGGTGTCACAGACTCGGACTGGTTTGGGCGAGGCGGGGAGAGGGAGCTCATTGTCCGAGCAGCTGTTACAGAAAATCTCCCCGCAGTTCCTACAGTGATGCTGCAGAGAGAGAGAGAGAGAGAGAGAGAGAACTAACATAACTACAATTGTGTTTTAAATAAGATATAAGGGTCTCCGCTTTTACAAAATCAATCAATCTTTATTTGTATAGCTCCAATTTTATCGACGACACATATAAAGGGTAGGTCTAGACCAGTGGTTCTCAACTGATCGAGCCTCAGGACCCACCAACTACTCCTTCATGAAATATCGCGACCCAAATTTCTCATCTTTTTCAATCAATCAGATTTATTTGTGCAGTTTGGACGTCAGACATTCTGAAACAAACTTGTTTAAAACTAGCGCTTTATAGACTTTTTGACAGCATTTGCGACTCACTTTTGGGTCCCAACCCACCAGTTGAGAACCACTGATCGAGACCATACTCTGTATTATTGACAGAGTCCCGGCAGTGATCCACCATGAACACAGCACTTGACCACATTTAGTAAATTAGCAGTGGCAAGAAAAAAACTTCCTTTGAACAGTCTTTTTTATTTTTCTATCTCTTCATGTTAGTTCTGACCTTTCGTCTCGAGATGGAGAACTCCTTCTCACACAGCTTGCAGTGGCTGGCCTCCTTGTCCTTCAACCAAACCTGACCCCCCTGAAACAACATCACACCCTAACTTTACATTTTAGACTCCACAAGACAGACATATTTTACTCATGTTATTGAACCTTGTCTATCGGACATATTGTAGTACTGTCCAGCAGTTTATTTCTTTTATATCATACCTAACTTACCATCTTCAGGATGCGGAGATTGAGATCTCCAACATATTTTATTTAATCTTTTATCCCTGTAACTCACTGTCACTTTACCTGAAGAGCTTTGTTTGCTTCTTTGATGTCCTCAATCTTCAGTTTGGATCTTATGACAAAACAACGAGACAGTTCTCAGTGAGGGGAATAAATCAAATCAACCACCACAGGTCATCAATCAATCTTTCCCTCTGAGTCAAAGTAACATCAAACTAATTATTTAGGAAGGCCCTTTTTAGTTTCATGGAGTAGGGTTATGTGCAAAAATGTTAATTATTTGAATGCTTTATGATGCAACTGAATCGTGTAAAGAAACTCTGTAACAACACTTGCATGGTCCATGATTCTAAGATAATATAATTATGAAAATAACTCTACTTTGAATGTTTTGAATAAAGACTATTCATCTTTCCAAAAAGGCCAACAGTGACAATGAAACTAAGTGCAGTTTGGGGGAAGACAGTTTGAGCTAAAGCACACATACTCGCTTAGTTTGGAGCCCAGTTCCTCGAGTGCTTGTTCTTGGTCCTCACAGATTGATTTCAGCTGAATGTTTTCATCTTGGAGGCGATGGAACTCCTGATAAAAATAAATAAAAACAAAAACACAAACGACAGAAGACATACATCGTATTCAGATCAAATGAGATCTCAGTCCGAAAAGACACAAATAAAAACATGTCATCGATGTCGTTTGCCCTCATCTCTCCAACCTTTTTCAGTCCGTTGATCTGCAGCGCCTCTGTGCTGAGCTGAGACACCGTGTCTCTCTCTCTTTCCAGATCATTTTGTAATGTCTGCCTCCACTCCCTCTCTATCTTTAGGTCTGTCTCCAGCTGCTGGCTACAGATATGGACATAAAAGAACCAACAACACAAAGACAGGAATCACACAGAGACAGAGAGAGGTATAATATACTGAGCAAGAGAGTGGAGAACTACTATGCTAAACACAGCTCAAACACTTTACATCTGTCCAAACTCCACAGCTTCTCTGATATATAAATGTTCATGTTAGTGTGAGCACAGATCTACCAGTCAGTCTGTGTGGGGATGCTTTTTAAGCTTACAGTTGCCGTTCTCTGTGTTCGATCTGCCGCTGCAGGCTGTCCGCCTTGTTAGCGAAGTCCAACTTGAAGCGTCTGGTTCCCTCCTCTGCCGAGCTGCGGTGCCTCTCTGCCTCCTGTAATCTGCACCATTATAACCAGGGACAAACTCAGGACCATGGAGAGAAAAAACTGGGGGGGGGAGCAGGTGATGAAGGGAGAGTGTGAAAAGAACAGGAGGATGAGATGGATGGATGTCTATAAGGAGGGATTTTAGGAACTGAGGCTTCTGGGTGTGGACATGTAGGAATGAAGACTCGGGATGAATAAAGGATAGCACAAGAGAATAAAACTTAAGAGAGAGGGGAGATCAAAACACAAAAGGAAATAATACAAGCAGGTAATGACTTTAAATAAATATATGATGACACAATGAAGATAAAAACTGCCTTAAAGAAAGCAGAAAAGACAAGAAAAAAAGGGTAGCTAACTAAATTCAGCAGGTCAGTGAACTCTAATGCCCTACATACTTATATCATTATGATTTTGAAAAGTATTGGCAATGCTAATGTTCCATTCAATATTCTGCAGGCAGGAAACTTTCATAGGAGACTTCATCTCGCTTTACATCCACTTTAGCTACCGCACATATTTGGACAACAGGAATAAATCCCAGCCGACAGCAACAGTTGACACAGAGCTTTATTACTCTGTTAAGTCATGCAATAGAAGTCCCTTGGACTCTGAACATGGCAACAAACTCACGCCACACCCAGCCATCTCAAAACATCTACCTTTATTGATCACGGTGGTAAAAGACAGTAGTTGTGAGCCTCCAGCAGCCGCACTGAGTGTTTATTCTTCTACAAACTGAGAGGAGTTACAGTACTATGAGCTTGGGCTTAGGATCAGTGGAATGACTGCTTCCTTATCTATCACAAGAGTCAACAAAAGATGACACACAACACATTCAAATTCCCATGACAGAAGCTCCAGAGGTTTACATCTGTGTCACTACAATTCTTTGCACTTGGTTTGGCTCCGTCTGATCTTCAGGAACAACGCGTGTGAGATGCACTGAGGCTGCTGGTCCTGCAGAGATGTTTTTTTCTGATACAACAGTAATTCTTTTAGCCTATGTGAATCTCCAGGAGGATGACGAGCAAGAAGGAGAAGGGCTGTTTTTGGAAACCCCCCCCCCCCCCCCTTTTTTTTTTTTTTTTTTACAGTACAGACTATTGTATTCAACCTCCTCTAGTTTTTTTTGTGTTCAAAAAAACTAGTGTCTACGGCATGTTAACTACTGTTTGCTAACAATTTCACCAACAATTTCATAGTGATGATTTAAAGGATGAAATGTTTAAAATCTCTTTGTACAAAGGCCTGATGTCTGATGCAGCACGTTTCATCACAGCCAGTCAGAAGCAGGTCAGGAGGTGCATCACATGCAGAGAAAAACTGGCAACACATTTAAAGCTGAAGGCTGCACAAGCAAACTCCTCTCTGACGTTTCATGTGCAGTGAGTGACTGACAGTGGAGAATCAGGCAGATATTAAAAAAGCTAGTCTGCTAGTGTTCATGTTCCTGCTCGTATTTTAGACCTAAGCAAATCCTCCATGAACAGAATTTACAATTTTGTTATAATTGCCGTATCTTGGCAATCACTCCTTCAACTTCTTTTGAAACAACTCGGAAGCTGTGTTAGAAAACTCGAATTAAAGCTTGGAGTGCACCATCTTACAGTTTGTGCACTTTTAGTGACTAATTGCAAAATGAATTGGACTAAAAAAATAATAATAAATATATTAGCTCCCAGATTATTTTAGAGGGTGTTGCAATCATCTTGATCAAAGTCACAGATTTACACGAGGAAAAATCTTGCTTTTTAAAAAAACTGAATGTTACGCATTAAACCCAATAACTTTTGTACGTGTCCACATGTTGAATCGAAACTACTTAAAAGTAGTTTTGAAACTAGCATTAAAAGAAAGCTTCACTATAATCATTCTTACTCAATGTGAACAATAACAAATACCCAATGATTACACCTCAGAGCCCACACAGTCAACTATATTACTGTCAGTGTTACTGCACATAAACTGACGACTAGACACAGGTAGAGTAGTGGTAGTGTAGGAATGGGTGTGTGCATCATCAGCATGTGAAGAAATGAAGGAGTCCCTGATTGGGTCAAAATGTTTGTTTTTTTCCAGTATCGATTAAAGTCAACTGATGTAATATTCAGACATTTCTCTGAGCAGCAAACCAAGATATTTACAGGAAGCATGTCTTTGTTTTCCAGCAGATGGTCTGTGGAGGATTTAACTGAAGATCTTAAAACATGTTGGAGTGCTCACTGTAAATTACAGCACTCTGCTGATGATGATCAGTGTCAGTCACTACACCCTGCATTCAAGTTTCACCTGATTCTCTGGCTGCCCTCTCACCTACAGTCTGAATATTGTGTGCAAAAAACAGGAATGTTCCTTTAAGTTAAGTCTGTTTATTTGTAATGTCTTTAGTTATCGTGTGTCTACGTGTTTGTCCTCAGAAGGAGATGTCCTTGACTAGCTTGTACTGGTGCTCTGTGTCATTGCTGGCACACTTAACAAATGACATAGCAAGCGTTCTGGTCTGACTGAGCAAATCCTTATCACTGCACAGGGAGGCAGGGGGAAGTGACGAAACGAGGAGGTTTCAAGGGGTAAAATGAAGAATGGAGGAATGGATGGTCAAAAAGAGACGAACAGGAGGGAGGAAAGAAAGGAAGGAAGGAAGAAAGGATGTCAATACATCAGCATTCTAGGTGGACCTGGTTACACTGAACAGCACAGCACAGCAGTAAGAGTAAGTAAAACGCATGAAGTCACAGAAATCTGCTTTCAGGCTCTCAGGCTCCCACTGTAATCAGATTTCTTCAGTCTGGGTTTATTTCCCTCGACAGTCAAAGTATGAGTGATGAGAAAAGATGGGGAGAGGAAGCAGGAAGAATTAACGTGTGGACAGATATATGACTCTAGAGCAGATAAAAAGTGGTATTTTAAGAGGCAGTGTGCGTAGAATAAGACTATAAGACACGAAATTTAAGCCTGAAAGTTTCCTACGGTTTTTGACCATTTTGATTTGCTGCTACAACAACACAAAACTCCCACTCAAAGTTCTACCAGACTACATAAAACCTTCAAAGCAGGAAACAAAAACTTACACAACCAATCACAAATAGGATGGGGAGATATAAACCAATGGAGAGGGGAGGGGGAGGGATGAACCATGTTGACTTGTAAACAATGGGGCGAAGAGGGGTCATAAAGCATCAATTCACCAGAAGATTTCATCATGCCTGATGCAGATTTGGAACATAGACGTAAAGAGAATTACTAACATAGCATGCATGAAAATATTAGCTGTTATTTATTAGACATGAGAAGTTAGGATGCAGAATTTCCTCGAGGAAAATGTTGGACAATACCTGACGTATCTCAACTTTTCTTTAATCAACCCTGTTGATATGTGATGGCCTAAACATAAGCATTAATTATATATCATGCTAATTGCTCTTTTTTTTTTACTCAGAGGTAATCTTGTGTCGTAGAAATGTGTTAAATTTCTAAATGAATGCATGTGCTTCTATTTAATAACATATGTTTGAAATGTTCAGGGAAAGGATAAGATTAAGATATTTTAAATTCATATAAACCCTCAAAGGTTAGGAACGCTGTGTGGGTCCTCAATCAAGCTGAACAGCAAACGGGGGCTCTTCGGGGACGGTGGAATGAAACGGTGAAATGAATAGGCTAGATGTGTTTATCGCTTGAGACGTGTTTCACATTGAACGGCGTCGGTCTGCCACACGTTTTTGAATGAATTAATAAAAGCTTTTTAACTTTTGTAACAGAACAGAGTGCCTTGGATACTTTTTTTGTGTGTGTCTACTTTACTCTTCAGAGGACTTTTTTCACTGAAGCGAACATGTATGTTCAATGTTGAGGTAACCATTTATGAATCAAACAGATCTCAAAAGTCAGACTTCTATCAGCTGTTTATAGAAACAAATCAATACGATCACAAGATGCCATGGCAGACACAAACCCAATAATATGACTTTAATTTGGATTGTTGGATGATAATTGTCATGTACTTTATTTTCCAAGTTTACTCCAGGTCACTACTGCACAGCTTCAAATTACACCATGCAAAAGTCTCAGTTCATTGTTTACTAGTTCTCTTTTGGAGAGGTTAGAACGCAGGAAGACTTCAAGACTGATGCAGAGCTGGCTAAACACTGCACATCGATTCTAGGGAGGAGGGTGCGGGGGGGGAGACAGAGCTCTCCAATGTTTTGATTTCAGACTGCAGTGTCCATTTTAAACTCTACATGTCACGGTTACATATCGCTCCTTTAACAAGGGAAGTTCTGTAAGTAGTTAAAACATAAAGGAGTACTTTGTGCAGATTGAAAGAGGGGCAGAGGACGCATATAGAAAAAGAGATTTTCCAGTTTTTGTCTGTGTGTGTGCTGTGCCTTCACAGGCAGTGTATCTCACCTCTGCTCCAGCTGCTTCATGGTGGCAGTGATCTGATTGGTCTTCTCCTCCAGACGACTGATCACATTGTTCTTCTTCTTCATCTCATCATCAGACGACTAAACAAAGGAGAAGGAATGGCTGTGATAAATCTGAATAAGAATGAATAAGTCTTCACAGAAGTGTATGTGCTCGTGTGTGTTTGTGTTTGTACCTGCATCTTCTGGTACATTTCTACGTTGATGGCTTTGACTTCATCCAGTTGGTGCCTCAGTCCGATCAGCGTGTCCTGTTGATGAAACACAAAGGTGTCAGTTGAGTTCTGATGCTGTTTGAATCTCATACTCAAACTATCATGTGACAGATTCTAGTATAATAGTCGTGTTTGTCACGTTTCAAGCTAAATCCCATCAGAGAGCTAAAATGTATTTAAAACACACTGTATCGATGCATGCGTGTCAAACGCTGCATCCTGCTGATCCCCTGATGTTTTGATGTAATGATCCCAGCAGCCTTCATACAAGCTGCCTTGATGCTGCTTAACTGCATCTCACAGCTTAGCTACAAATGTCAGCTGGTGGCGTTTAAGCAGCAGTGTTCACACATTCGTGCAGAGCAGCCAATCACTGGCAGGGCTGCCACGGCGACGGGCAGAAGTGGGAAAGGTATTACTGCTGCATGTGAGCATGTACAGACTGGTGCTTTATTTTAATCTGATAATTATCACATGCTCCCTCACTGTGGTAGTAATACATCTCAAGAGCAAACACATCATTTACACATCTTTATTTATATATGTAAATATTGTCCTTTTTCACAATGTTTTCACTAAACCGTACTGCAATAATTCAAAAATGCTTAAATTATTATGTACAATGACATATATTTGTTATTATTAATTAAAGAATATATATTTGTGCCAACCTGTTTTTCATGAATATCTTTCTCTAGAAGTTTCATAGCCAGCTCCATTTCCTGTTTCATCGACACCTGGACCACCAACTCATTCTCCACGTCCTGAACAAAAAAGACAACACATGATTTGGATGTGTATGACCTGTTACTATGCTGTCATAACATGTATTATTGGAAATATTTGATTCACACACAAACAGCTGCGGTCCGACCTGTCGGAGCTGACACTCCTCCTTCAGTTGCCTCTGAGCCTCATTGTACATCTCATCCAAACCCTGACGAGACTGTCTGTATGTGTCTCTCTCCACAGACACATCGCCTTGGGTTACCTGGACAATTTACAACAATAAGAAGACGTGAAAGTCATAGTCATGCATACGTTTTATCAGCAGGAGCTCAAAGCAACTGTTGAAATGTTTTCTTAGTGTGTCTGAACCTCTAACTGTTGTTGTGTCTTTGTCAGGATGAGGCTGTTTTCACTCCTCAGCTGCTGGTTTTCCTCCTGGAGTTTGATGATGTTGTTCTTGGCTATGGCTAACTGCCAAACGAAACAAAAACAGAATAAAAGTTTGAGAATATTAAACTTTGACTTCATATGAAGGTATCGTATATTTCTGTGTAACAGACCATGCAAGTGGATCAAGATTAAATTATAAAAGGCACATAACTATGATGTAGAGACAGTTGTTAAACTCTGAGGTTAATGTACAGATGTAATGAGTTTGGGTCTCACCTCCTCTATGAGCTTCGAGTTAGACTTCTCTAAAGAGTCCACTCTACCTTGAAGACCATGAACTGTGGAGCTAATTACACAAACAGAGACAGAAATACATGAACTTATCATCATGGTACATGTTATAGGTTTGAGTCATGAACTAGCTTGTTTTCAGTTCTGTCACAGCTGCATATGTTCATTATCTACATCCGTATTGCCATTTCAAACTGAGAATCACAAGGTTCATTAAAATAGTTGGTGAGAAAGGGAAATTCAAAAGAGGAAATGTGACACACTGTCTGTGTTATTATGAATCTGTCTGTGGGACCAGAAGGCACACATCTGCACTTCTAAAACAACAGAATGGTTTAAACTAAAGTGACTGAACACCAGGCCCATTTACATTTGTAATGACACATTCAGTCTCCTGCCTTTGGTTAGGTGCATCATGGCACTCCTCAAACATCAGACAATCAAATGATGTAAATTGAAATATGAGTTAGAAATATAAAACATTATCAGCGAGTAAAAGTAACAAAACACTCTCATATCTGGAAGTCAAACCTAACACAAGTCTATTTCAATAATAAAAACATCTTACTTGAGTTGTCGGTTCAGCTCCTCCACATAGTTCTTCTGATCCAAGATGGATGCTATCTGGCTATTCCTGTAGCCATGGAAACGGTCATAAAACAAGCTCTGCATCAGATTGGGAGGCCTAAGACAGCCAGTGCATTAACTAACATTGATGGACAATAAAAGGTCGTACCTCTCTTCACTCCTGTAATCATCGATGTCATTCTTCAAGTACATGGAGAAATCAATCACCCCAACCTGGAAAAATAAATAAACTAATAAAGCTAAAATCTCTCCAAAGAGGAAACGTCTGCTTGAAAGAAGCATTTCCACAAAAACATGATGTTTTCATTTAAACCAAATCTTTGTTTGTCAGTCCGTGTCAAAGCGACTACAAGTACCTCAGCCACAGACTCAGGTGTGAAAGCAATCTGTGCAGGTTGTTTGAATAAAACTGTGTTTGCAGTGTGGAAAAAGTCTCCTGCCATGGAGTAAATATAAGACACTGCAGTGTCTGCTCTCTAGCTGCTTGAAGCAAAGACAAAGTGACCAAACCACAATCCAGTCCTGTCTGCATTTTTTCTTCCTCATAATAGAGTCTAACTGTTTCTTTTCAATGAACTTGTGTTCACAGGAAGTAGATTGATATCTTTCATTGTTGGAGATTGTGAAATAACGACTTCTCCTTTCAGTATGGTGTATTTGGAATATGTGATCTGATCAAAGTGAGAAAAACAATGTTGGACAACGCTGTCATGCAAACTCATCTCATAGTAAAGAACAGATGTACATTTTGTTCATTCGTATGGGTAACAAACAGTATCAGAGCTGTGCTTACCTGAGAGTCCAGGTCCTCGCCTTTGACACACAGATTAGCATCGATCACGTTCAGACCGACCAGCAGTCCTACGATTACTGCTCCCTCCTCTTCCAGCATCAGCGCTGAATTCTCATAGAAATCACTGCAGAGGAGACACAAGAGGTTCTCTACTACTGAAGGGAAGTTCAAACGTAGCAGCATAAAGGGGATCAGCTTTAACTGAATGTTTAAGCTCTTTAATGTTGTTATTGTGGATGTGAAACGACTTTGGAGTAAGTAAAGTTTTCATTTATTGTATGAAAGTACTTTAAGCTTGAGTTTCATAATCGGGTTTGCTTGGGAAATAAAATCTGGAATCACCATCTTTGACCTTAAAAGGCCTAGTGTGTTAATCAGACACTGTTACAAAAAGTTTCTGTAGCCAAACGTATGGTCCTATGTATGTTATCTGTGTGTCACCATGTGTATAAACAATACGTGTGTGTACCTTAGCAGGTCTTTTCTGGTGATGAGAAGTCGAAGGTAGTCAGCGAGCCGTTTCTGCATTAGAGCGAGACGCAACCAAGCTCTGGCCCTGCCTAAAGGAGTCCTGAAAAACACACACACACACACACACACACACACACACACACACACACACACACACACACACACACACACACACACACACACACACACACACACACACACACACACACACACACACACACACACACACACACACACACACACACACACACACACACACACACACACACACGTGATAAGAGTAAATTCTTGGGAGGTTGTGCTGGGACATTGTGAGATTGATCTGCAGCTTCTTCTTTTTTTTAAGTTGCTTTAATTTGACCTTCTGTGTTCCTGTTTGTTTCAGATAACAGATAAGTAAGTGGTCTCACCTACATCACTCTTCTCTTTTTCAAGGCTTTGAACCATTTACAGTAAATTGAACACGGTTCATTTCACCTCTCTGCCATCTCAGCAACTAAAACCGCACTACAAACCGTTTTTTAATGAATAATCTTATTCTCAAGAGAGAAAAACATGACTGTCTGTACTTCATGTTACAAGAACACTGCTCTGCTACATGTCTGTTGGTCTGACTCAGCACCACCAAAGGAAACACACTCTGCTCTCCCTCTGAAACAGCACAACTGTTTCCTATTTTGCTGGATCAGACAAGACCTGAATATTACTCACTTGATTCCAAAGTGGAAGTGTGCTGCTATGCAGTGACTAAATAACTGAATAATATGATGTGGGGGAAAAGTTGAATTATGACCTCTCTCACACAGAGCTATCAACACTCATCCTCTAAACTGTAAGTTACAATGAAACAAACTGCTTATTATTACATAGTACACACTAAGGTGGGAATCACACAAAAAAAAAGGATGCAATATGATACAATACAATACAAAACATGGCCTCAGCAACGATTATATCACCATACAGCAATTATTCAACAACTGATATATTGAAAGACTATCCTGTATTGATACAACACAAAATCTGATAAACCGAAGAAGACTACAAAATGCCTCTTAAAGGTAAAGTGCAGAATGAATGTATCTATGCATGTTTTAGATTCATCTCTTGTCACGCTAACCATTCAACATCCTTTAACTTCTGTCTGATACTATCGTAGTGTCATCTTCTCCCTCGTAAGTTTTTTTTCTTATATTGATATTTGGCAACCAGTGATTCAATAATTGTATCACAAGAGTAAGGGTGACTATACATTTCCAATCCCTGCTGCACCAGAACTGGTTTAGTTTTAAAAAAGGTGTTTATTAAACAAAAGTGTCTGAGTTGGTAGAGTCGTCGCCTCTCAACCGGAAGGTCGAGGGTTCGAGCCCCAGCTGGGTAACATGTCTGATGTGTCCTTGGGCAAAACACTTAACCCTGAATTGCTTTTGGTTCTTCGTTGGCGGTGAATGAACGGGCTTAGTTACTTCTGATGGATGATGCTACACAGCGACCTCTACCATCAGTGTGTGAATGCGTTGGTGTGACCTGCAGTGTAAAAGCACTTTGAGTAGTCGGAAGACTAGAAAAGCTCAATTCCATTTACCATTTACAAACTCAGTTTGAACACAGTACTGCTTACTACCTGTTTTTAATAGCTTTAGTGGACTAACAAAGAGTCAAAAGAAAACCAGGATGTGGAGAAAATGTGGAGAGGAAGAAGTGAGAGTACAGTGAAAGAAAAGGTGAAGTGAAAGTACATCACACTCAGGTACTAAACCGCTGTGCCTCACGTCACATGCTCGTGTTACAGATTCCTACATGTGAGTCTATGCAGTTGTGCTCATGGCTCATATTTCTCTAGCATGTGGTCAGGGTTAAGTTGTGTGTGTTCATAAATGTGCTCCTTACTTTAGTCCGGGCAGGTCTCGTACTGAGGCGGAGATCTCTGCTGCTTCAGGACACAGTTTCTCCACCAGCTCCAGAGGACCCCACAGAGACTTGTTAAAGCCCAGAAAGGACTTCTTCACTGCAGAGAGGAAGAGGAGAGACACAGTCAGACCCACACCGGGGAAAAGGAAATCTAGGAATGACACCTTTTTTTATTAAAGAGGCTTCATACAAACACACTGCGGCATGAACACAGAATATTAATAAGGTGGAAGGTTGCAGATATATTCCCACAAGCACAGCAGACACTCTCTCTCTCTCTCTCTCTCTCTCTCTCTCTCTCTCTCTCTCACCTCGGAGGCCATGTTTGAGACAGTGCTCCATGACAACAAAGAACTGCTGCAGAGGTGGGTAGTCTGAATCCAGTGTTCGTCCAAAGCTCAGAGCTGACTCGATCAGCCCTTTAATACTCAGCTTGGCCATGTTGAGCAGGTTGGCTCTCTCCATGGCCATGGGGTCTCGCATGGCTGCAGGAGGAAACAGAAAAAGCACCAACACTTCCTTTAAGTTAACAGAAGAAAAGACCTGCCTGATTTGAAGAATGCACACATCATGATGTCTAATGATCACTAGCTGGACACACTGGATTAAAGTTTATTCTTTATAATACATGTGTTTGTAATGAATGCAGTCACAGCTGTTTTAATTGCGAGGAGTAAGAATCATGTGAAGGACACCTCATTGAGTTTGTTGTTTCTTTGACCATCAGCACAGGTTGCTAATAGAGACAGACTAAAACCACACCAATTTAAATATTTTGAACTGCTAAGTGACTTCATGGGCAGCATAACCAAACCCAAAGAATAGTTATTGAAATTTAACAGGCACTCATTTATCATTTATCACAGAACTGCTAGAGACCTTATTACACGTGTACTCATATCCAAGCTTGTCATTAAACCGTCCAAACGTACTCGTAAAAAAACTGAGACTAAAGGTTTCTGTCTGTGACATAAACAACTAAAACATCGTCACAGTTTGAAATCTGGAAATGATCAGTTGGCAAAGAATAACTGATTCAGACTCATTATTATATTATTTTATACATAGAGAGGTACTTGTCTTGCTGACATAATAACAGAACGGTGTGTTGTGGGTGGGTCAAACCTTCAGCTATAACTGCTTTAGAAAAGACAAAAAAAAACATCAGAAAATAAATAAGGTCAATTTGCCTTATACTCATGTTTTTTAAGACTAATCATCTCACATCCCTGTTGGATTGAATTCCTGAAACAGTTGTCAACTGATGCAGACATCGTTTAAAAGCAGGTGTATGAATGCCGTGAGTGTCTTTCAGAAACTAAACATGGTTGTGAGTGTGCAGAGCGTTATTCTGACTGACACACGAGCTTCTGGGAATAGTGACAGAGAGATCAGAAGAGCCAAGAGCTTTGACTAGAAAAAAACAGATGATGTTGTTCATCAGGAAATCAATCATGATTCATTTGTCAATTACATTTACAAAGACTCAAATGCTATAAGGCTGCTGTGTGAGTTGTAATTGGAAATATATATATATATATATATATATATATATATTTGTTGGATGTTTTTTGTGCACGAGTTTGAATAAACAAGACATGTGATTATTTTGACTTTTGAAGGTTGCTAACATTATTGTGAAATGGTATGGACAAAAAGATTGATGAATCAGGATATAATGGTCGATAGGATAAAGCTGTGTTTTAAAAGACATAATTGAAGCCCCAATTCAATATCCTGCAAAGTTTCTGACTGTAGAAATGCCATGGCACCAAACTAACACAGACAACTCAAGTGCGAAAGGTTTCTTTTAAAAAAAAGTGTACGGAACTGTTTGTTTGTTTTTTCTTCCATTTGGTTTAATGCACCATTTGAGGCTTCAAGCATCCGCTGCTGAAACTGACAGAGCAGGATGTAGAATCAAAAAGCATGAGGGGCAGCACAGATCTATGAGAAATCAATTTGCCACACGCAGAGGATGGTGAGGTAATGCTGGATGTGAAAGAGAGGAGACATGTAGCAGCTATCACAACAACACACATCAGCTGAAACTCTGCCCCATGACTGAATGATTGATTGATGTGAAGAGCCTGAGGGCTGGGTGTCATCATCAGAACTGCTTATATTAACCAGAACCACACACACACACACACACACACACACACACACACACACACACGCACACACACACACACGCACACGCACACACACACGCACGCATGCACGCGCACACACGCACACACACGCACACACCTCTATTTCCTGCATGAATGACGCCTCGTTGACCTGATAACACCCTACCTTGAACGGTCCAGTCCCCGGGCAGAGAAGTTCTGTGCTCCGACACTTTGGGCAGGACGTGAATGCTCCCTGAAATGGTCTCGGATGCTTTCCTGGCCAAAGCGAAGATAGGAGCCTGCCATCGCCCGTCTCCTCCTCCACCTCCTCCTCCTCTAATAGTGCTGCTACTATTAGCTTTATCTCCTGCAGCAGATTTCTCCTCCTGCAGCCTCAAAACGCCAAACACCTGAGCTTTGTCCTTGCTGCTGTCCGCTTCAGACAGATCGTGGTCGGCGGACGATGCCATGTTCACGTACCTCTGAAATTATCACAGCTCGATGCGAAAACAACCAGACTCATGCGGGTTGCTAACCGTTAGCTATGTGCCAATCACCCGGTGAACATTACGACAACCAGGGCATAAAATTACCTGCGTTAAACCCGGCCGAGGCACTGACAGGTCTAGCGAGTGTCAAAACAAACCGTGTTATCGGTGTCGGAAAGGAAAACGTACGCATCCGTCTGCATGGTGACAGGGCGGCAGCTGCTCCAGTTATTAAAACAAGTCTCTGACGTGCACCACGGTGTACTATACATTTGTTTACACCTAGCCGACCGAGCAGACAGTTTTGCTTCTGACCGTCCCGCTGCACCCTCTGGAGGGGCGGTGTCAAAAGGCTCACAAGACTCACAAAAGGAACACTACGTAATGATTTTAGGGGGCTGCCATGTTGTGGACGTGCCGCCCTCTGCTGGCTGCGGTGAGAACAGCACGATGTTACTGTACTGGAGTCCTAGTCACCAGAATTAGGCTATACAAATAAAATAATAATATAAATAAATCGCCTATAGCCTACATGAACTCACTTTACTAGGCCTATATTTTACTGACAAGGTAATAAACATATGTGATATCTCACTTGAGTGCTACCCTTTTGTTATTTTATTCTTTCAAAACTGCTCAGAGGTAAATATTGTAAATGATTTTTATATTTTTTATTCTAAACAGTTTGATGAACTCACCAATTATAATGTATTGTAGCTTAAACTACCAATACGTGTATAATTAAATTAATTAAATAAAATAGCATAGAGTCTCAACCAAAACATTATGAATGTAACTTTCACAATTGAACATTACAATTTATATTTTACTTGAGTTCTTCCCTTTTGTTGATTTCTTCTTCAAAATAATTAAGAGTGAAAAATTATAGGCCTAGGCTACATGCTACTCCATAGGCTAAATGACTTAAATTCATCAAGTTCATTTTCTTTTTGTTGAAGTAGACTTTTTTTCTTCTTCTTAATCTAGTGAATGACCTGATGCTTCCTTCCCTGTATTCTGGTCATTTTTTATGCTTGAATGACATCAGCACATGTTAATGGTCTGTGTTGTCTTTCAATACAAAAAAATGTACATGTTTTGGTTTGTGGTTTCTCCACAATATATCATGTGGGTCAGGTTTATTTGTATTTATTTATTTATTTTGACAGGGACAGTGTTCAGCCTATTAGCTAAACCAGAGTTAGCTATAAACTAAATGACATCTGCACTTCCTGGGCAGGAGACAGAGACAACGTCTCTGTTAAGAAACAATAGATAGGCTACACTAACAACATCTACACACCAATACACAACCACTGAACAATGGCATTAAATTAATCCACCGTAAATTTCACAAATTATATTAAAACATTAATAGTCTAAGAGCACTTCACTTTAAATACATCACTAAAAAACAACGACCACACCTATATCTCCACACCTATATCTAAACACCTATATCTAAACAAGACATCAACAATACCAATAATAACATATTCATACACTACAACATTATCAAACAGAGTTCATGAAATGTCATGTGTCTATGTGTGATGAGGACATGATTGAGTTGTTTTGAGCCATGAGTTCATCTTAAAATTAATTTCAGCAAAGCTACAGCACTCTCTGATTTTTACTCTGTATGGATTTCTTAAAATGTCTAGCTCTAATAGAGACGGCTGATTTGTCAAACCCAGATGATCTGTGCTGTTAGCTTGTAGACTTTGGACTCATGAGCTCAGTATTTTCAAAATCCTTCCTAATGCCGTGTTTTGAATGAATTGTGTTTCACCAGTAGAGGAATAAATGACAGAGGGAATACAGAAAGCTTTAGTAAAGAGGAAAAACACATACATGACGAACTGAACTGGCTTTGGAAAACTAAATAAAGTTTTCACATAACACAACCATGATACATGAAGTATGGCTGCATCGTGTTTTTTTTTAGATTATCAATAATACTCTTGATCATTTCCTATATTTCTTGTTTGGAAAATGTAATAAAATTGTGTGTAAGGTAAAGTCTATAAATGCTTGTTTGAGCAAACCATCATTCTAAAACCCACAGATGCTCTGTGTACTATCAATGAACGATGAATCTGTAAATATTCAACTTTGTCAAAACTGGAACCAATAGATTTATGGATTTGTGACATTGTGACAAATAGACTAATCGGTTCAACTCTATTAAAATGGTTTAACATTATGAACAGTCATATTTCAACAAGTTTATCAACACATGAACGCTTCAGAGCAAATATTGAAGTCATGGATTATGATAAGTTTGATTATATACTGTAGGTCCCTTCACTCTCCTAATTGATTATTAACTAAAGCTATTTCAGTTTGATGGGTTAATTAAAGCTTCATCAAATAGGTATTCTTTTATTAATTTAAACATTAATCCAGTTTTATAGTGAAATGATGTAATCAGCTTTTTGATTGAGGCTGTTTTAGGTCATGTATGGGATGAGGTAGGAGTTGATAGGATTTATCATCCTATAATAAGATCATTCAATCAAAAAGGTACCTTGGCTGTAGGCTAGTCGCTCCATACTCTCGCTGTGAGTGATGCCCCAGCGGTGGAGACTCTGAGGGGAGTACATGGTGAGTGGGACTCTCCTCTGTCCACTGCCCTGTTACAATGAGTAAGTCAAGCAGATCCTTGAGTCCTGAAGAGGCTCGCTGTCGTCTGGTTTCTGTTGAGCTGGAGCCACACAGTCAAGTTTCTCAGATTCCCTGGTAGAAGTGGATCATCCCTTCAGTTAGGTCAGCTTTGATGACAGTGCAGACTGGACTGCTGAGACACAGGGACAGCAAAAGCTTCTGGTAAAAATGTGAAAGAATAACTATATAGGACCTGACATCCTAATTGTGTAAAATGTTTCTCACTGAACAGCCCACTAGATCACTGGATGTTCGCAAAAATTGCTGTTAACTCACTTTTTACTTTGTAAGGCAGGTCCTGGTACAATGAAATTAAATAACTCTCGATTCTAATAATGAATATTGCCCAGAAATCTTCTTATCTAACGTCAACTCAAAGATCAGTTCCTGAATGCAATCTCTGTTACAGAGCAGTAAAACACCACTCACTCATACTGAACAGTACCAGACCATTACTGTCATGAATAATGTAAGATGTTCTTCCTTACTTTAAATATAATAAATCTTCAATTTCATGTAAACAAAAAAAGGGAGATTAGTCACAAGTAAATGTTTCTTTTTAAAACCAAATAGAAAATTTTCCTACCTTTTCTTTGTGGCATGAGCTCATAAGGAATCCATCTACTGGGCCTCCACCTCATCATAGTATTACATTAAAAGCCTTCAGCCACTCCAACTAAACAATGTTTGATCCATTACCTCACACTTAGAAAGAAACTGTAGCAGCTCGGAGGCTACAGTAAACTGCATTACATGGATCATTGGTATTAGTCTTTATGTCAGGCTTCTCTTCCTCTGTTTGCAAAAATGTCTCTCTCGTTCCCTCTCTCTCTAATAGCTCAGAGCTGACCAGGATCATATGACTGGTTTCTTGCAGATCTGTAAACTCCTTAGCCATTTACTGGCTGTGTTAATTCTCTGAATGGCTGCTTCTCAGCAAAATCAGCAAATAATTTGTGAGCCAGGCTACTTCTGCCTGCATGTTATCTATCTATATTCTATTCTTGTTTCTATCTCTGTTGACATGACAGTGCATGCTTCAAATGCACTTAAACTATATGCTTTTATACACACTGTTTTTTACCATCTTTTTTTCCTCTCCAATCTATTTGCTATCTTAAGAATAACTCAAAAAGTACACGATTGTTTCTCTTAATGTTTGATTGAATGTATTCATATTCATATTGCATTGCCTGTGTGTCTATTACTTTACATTGAATTGTGCTCTGAACGTTTGAATCTAAAAGAGTGATGCTATAGTTTTATCTCGCTGCAAGAGAAAAGGAGACAATTGCAAAACATATGGAGTTGTATGTACGGCTACATACAGCCTAATTTAACATCCAATATAAGCATGAACAAGACTCTTTCTTTCTAGGTTTATCTGCACATAATTTTCCTTTTTTTTTTTTACACACCCTTGTTTTTTTCTGTCTCATTTCTCTACTCCTATCCCTTCTGAACCACACCTAAACAAACACACCAGGAAGCACCACTTCCAGGGTGGTATGTTTGTACCATATGACTGTATTCATCACTGTTGGTACACACCCTTCAGAACAACAGACAACTGCAGGAACCAATCGATAGTCTTCACCGGAGCCTGTGCCTACCAATAGGAGTGTGATGCTGTTCATCATAGTAACCATCCTTTCATCCTGCAGCATTTGATCCATGTGATGCTATGTTATAGATTCTTATTCAGTCATTTAACATGGAACTATGTGGTGGATTTAAAAAGTAAGTAACACAAAGTCACCTTTTTTATAATCTCCATAGGCAGTACTACAAACAGGGTAGGGATGCAATTTCACAAACTATTATTGTAAACACAACCCTTTTGAATATGAACAGTATATTGTTTGCATCTCACCTCAGGCAGTAGCAAGCACAGATCCTTATTTTTGTCGCATGTCAGCACTCAGTAGTCTGGTCCGGCAGAGTCTGAGGCAATGACTTGGTGGAAAGAGTTCAAGATGGACATGATCTACTTCCTGGAAATATGTACAGTCCAAGCTTCAGAGGAACCCCTTTCACATATTCTTGCCAAATGATCTATCTATCTATCTATCTATCTATCTATCTATCTATCTATCTATCTATCTATCTATCTATCATCTAGATATCACTGGATGTCATCTAGAGGTGCTGCAAGGCTGTGAATGAAAATAAGCCTCTGTAGTTCTGAAGCAGTAAGCTGCTACACGCTCTGGAGACATCACCGGCAGAAACCACAACCATCACCCCACACAAAACCCAATGACAGAGCAAAGAGCCAGAGTGAGGGGGAGGGGTTTGGGAGTTACACAGCAAAAAGAAGGGAGGGAGGAGGAGAAGAGAGGAGAGAGGAGAGATGGGTGAAGGGAGCAGAGTGTGATACCAGGGCGAGCACTCACACAAACTTACAGACACAACCCAACCCACAACCTTTACTGTTTATATGAATGAGATACATGAGGATATTAAAGAAAACACACACAAGGGTCAAGCTGGTTGTTGCCAGCATGTGAACTGAATGGTGAGGGAGGTATTTGTGTGTGATATAAATTACATTGCAGCTAAGACAATGAAATAGTACTATATAGTAACATACTACATTTTGAATAACATTCAAGTTTATACTACACCACAATGAACAAACAAGTTTGGTTCTTGGCTGAAATACTAACAGGTTAAGCAGCAATGAAACCCCCTGAGCACATCTGGATGAGCATCAGCTCCTCTTACCTATGAAAAGAAAAGGATTTAAAAAAATCTACAGACAGGAAGTGAAAACTGTATTACAGGAGCTATAAATATTTATTTGTCAAACATATTGTAAAAATAAGACTTTTCTGAAAGATGAAGACACATGTATACAGTCAGTGAGCACGATGAACTCTACACAGAGGGTGAGGAATAATAAGCAGGCAGTGTTGATTAGACCAACATTTCTTGTGGATTTACTTTATGGAATTTGACAATCCCCACTTCTCACATTGTTGTAAGAGCTGGACAAAGACTATACAGTTTGTTCAGCAGCACAATAAGTAATTGTGGCTTTAATGCTTTTGTTCTGTTCATGTAAAAGACAACTTACCAATGCAAACATTAGCCAACCATAAAACAACTTTCTGATATCTGAATAACAAAGTCAACAGGGACACATGCACAAGACACTCCAGATTAAAGCACATGGTTCAACAAATTGAAGTAAGCAGCAGCTGTTGTATTGAAATTCATCCGATTTTACTGCACGTTTACTTTAATAATCGACAGCTTGAAAGTTACTGTAGATACTAACAAACAGTGACTTCATCACCTCCTGAAGACGAGGCAGTTTTCTCTGTTTTCACACCAAAAGATGAATCTCTTTATACAACTTTGCCAACAATGAATTATGGAGATCTACATATTGATATATTTCAACAACACGTGTGTTTCACAAAGACATTTAATCATTTTACAATGGTAAAGAAATTCTATTGACATGTTTTAAAGTTGATTATATACAGTGATAAGCCCTTCTAACACTTATACATCATATTGATTTAACTTAAATGTTTAGTCCTCAAACTCTGCAGAATAAAGAATTTGCTGGAATTTCATCCGCACCTCCATTCTTTTTTTTATGGTGAGCCTCTTTAGTGAGGGCAGAAGGCTGAGTAGAAACAGTTCGTCTTCATCTTTGAGGCTGGCGAGGGCCTCTGCAGAATTTGTCTCTGTGGTTTCTGTGGTGGCTCGTCTTTTACGGTTAAGAGAGACTCCCATCTCCTGGTCGCTGTTTTGACAGGGCTCTGTCAGGGAAAAGCTTGTACTAACCACAGGTAGAGGGCCGTGCTGCTCCTTCTCATCTTTAACTTCTAACTCCTTCTCCTGGTCGTCACCACTCCCAGCTCCCTGTTTGGCACAAGAACAGCATGTCAAACTAAGGGTCAGCACAGCACTCAATAATAATAATAATAATAATCTTACAGTTCTTTGGAAATCACAGGCAAACACATGAAAACCTCTCATACTTTAACAAATAGGATGAAAACCATTGGACAGGTCTGACTGGGTTTATATCTTCTTTAATGTTCAACGATTTAAAGAATTGTTGTAAAAATGTTAAATACAAATGTTGTATTGTTTTCTACTACGTTAAGGCAGACCCTTTATGAATAATTGGCAAGTAGGCCTAAATAAATTATTACTGTCAAATATAACATTTTGTATATTGTAATGCAACTTACTGAGAAACTGCAATATGCAAATGATATGTTTAGGTTAATAAGACACAACATAAAACAATCAAGACAATTGAAAAAAAACAAACAATATAAATGAATTCCAATAGTTAATAATTGTATTTAAATTGCATGATTAGAATTCCTTTATTTTACACTTGAAAACAGTTTTCATAATACGCTCCAGAGATGAAATGTCGGTTTGGGTCAGCTTTATAAACCCCTGTGGACAAAACAGTAGCTTCAATCTCTTTGCTGACTTTGTCTTTTAAATGTGTAAGTATTGTTTTTCTCTAATACAAATAAACAAATAAAAGCTTGATACCTTTCAAAAGTGTTTGCCAAGGAAAATGAATTGACCAGCCTGAAACTCCTCCCAGGAGCTTTGAGTTTGTAATAAAATGAATGCAACGAATGGACTTTATTATCTTGACTTTTTTTTGCTTTTTTTTGATCATGCTCAAACACAGTGGTTTTTGTTTTGGGAAGATAATGCTGTTACACATTAAGAAACATGCAGGAGTGCATGAAACAAATGACTCACTGGCGTCCACTGATCTCCGACTAACGCGACAGCACTTTTCATGAGTTCCAGTTTATTTTTCTCGGTGTCATACAGGTCCTGTATGCGTGACACGACCGTCCCCTGCGACGGTAGAGCATATAACTGGTCACAACTAGCCAACCTAAGGACGTCCCTTAGACCAGAGTCTTCCACAATGTCAACTGGCCTGCAGTCAGTGGCCACCCACTTAGCAAGCGCCGTAGTTAACCTGTCCTGTCTGACGTCATCCACAGGTGTGCAGCGGCCCTGCCAGCTCTGGTACAGCGGCTGCCCTACCACCTGACTCGCTGCACTTGTATGCTTTGCTCGTAGATGGTACCTCAAACTGGTAGTACTTCGGTGGTATTTTAATTCCGTTTGACACAAAATGCATATTACTTTAGACTTGTCAACTGTGCCGTCAGGAAGTATTTTAAAGTGAAACGCTCCGTTCAAAACCGATAACGCGTCGCTATTTTCCATCACTACAACAGCAGAAGGACAATAAAGCAGACTTCTTCTTCTAAGGAGTTTAATGACGGCTGGCATCAGTAGCTTAGTTGTTTCACTGGCGTCACCTACTGGATATTATTATCTTCACAGTGCCACATAGGCTACTTACAGTTTCGACTCAGTGATCCCTTTCTTGTCTATAACCCAGACTCACTAGTTTGGGCTTGCACCAGTCTTTCCAGTCTCCCCTATAGTGATCCTTTTTGCTTCACATAGAGTAAAACATCTCAATGTCCAAAAAAAGGACCCCTTCATCATCAAGCAGCTGGAGGTTACCTCCCTGATGAACATCACCCCATCCTCCTCTGGGAGATCTGAAATGCTCATATAAAATAGTCCTACACCTGAGAGGAGCTTTCTCATTATGGCCTAACTCTGCAGCACACATAAAAACCCTGTCAGGCATCTCTCCATCAAAACTCAGGCAAACAGAGGAGGTTTCCACAGTAGCCTATAGGCCTACTCAGAAATGCCTCTGCCTCTACAGTCAGAGACAAACCCCTCAACTCACTTCTTCATTGCCTCCGCTCCAAATGGGAGGAAGCAAGATACACAAAAAAAATAATCTCCAAAGATATGCATTTTCAGGGCTTTTTCTCTCTAACGCTTAGATAGACAATTACAACAATTCCACCTAGTTATAATCGATCATACTTCCCAGACAAAATTTCTCACTTATGTGTGTGGATTGAAATCTGTCTTTTTTTCAGTCACCAAGTTTTTTACCCTCTTGTAGGGCTACTTCCCATTTCGTGCTCAGACTCTTACTTAAACTCAATTTCCAACCTCGGGGCCAACTGGGCAAAATAGCACACTAATTAAAAAAATACAAAGAAGAACATACATTGCTGCTGAGCTTAAAGGAATCAAGATTAAGCGTAAAACACTGACAGACCAAAGTTTTGATCTTCTCCGAGTTTCAGAAATGATCTAGAAAAAAAGAACCTACTATATGCATGATTTGTGATGTAAGGTATTACACTGGTTCAAAAGCAAGAGGCCTATACATGCTATGTTGTGCTGTTTGCCTCATATATCGTGTTCACCATCAGGTCTAATTACAGATTTTTTTCCCTCAACTGTTTATAGGTTCTTCTATATTTTTTATCCATGTAACAGGTTATGTACATTTCTTGTATAAGTCTATTTATTAATTGCACAGTTTAAGTTTGTTTCATCTAGGGGTATTCTTTAAATCTTTTATCGGGTTAATATATATGTATGGGGGGGTGTGGCTTAATTTGTAACAAATGTTTCATGTCATGTACGTCTTGTAACATGCTACTGGATGCTTTGAATTTCCCTCTGGATCAATAAAGTATCTATCTATCTATCTATCATGTTCAACTAAAAAGCTTTTATTGTGAAAATACCCGGATATTCTGTGTTGTAGGTGAGTGAAGATGCACCTTACAGTGGATGTTTCGATGCCTAAAGCATAAAATATAGATAATAGTTAGCATTAAATAAATAAATGTAGCCTATTGTATGTTGCTGTTTTTGTGTCAAAGGTGTCATAAACCATAACAGCGGATAGAAGCCCACAAACAAGATTAAATACAATACCATTCTAACGTGACAAATAGGTTACTGTAATGATGACATTTTTAAATAAGTGATGGGTGGGCAACAAACCTCGTCGGTCTCCCCCATACCTGCTCCACCTCTGGGTTTGACATAGGCGCTGAGCCAGGCTAACTGGTGGTACAGTGCCGGGGCAGGCCTCTCCACTGGGTTCTCTTCGCCTGTCAGGGGAGGAAAACTTCTCTTCACCATTCGCTTCTTCGCTTTGCAGAACTTGTCGCGTAAGTTTTTCCATTTCAGCTTCACCTCTTCCTCCGACTTCCCCATGCTGCCAGCTATTTCTTTCCACGAGAAATGGCCCTTGTGATTGTCTTTGTAGTCCCGCCGTGACTGGTCGTACAGATTCGGGTGGTCACGTATCAAGTCCGCTAGCTTCTTTTCCATAGTGTTCATTTTTGTTTCATGTGTGTTTACTTCGCCGCGAAGTCCTGTCGTCAGCAGGGGGTGACGACCGAGGTTCGTCTTCGTCTTCGTCGTCGTCAGGCTACGGCTGGCAGAAGGAAGTACAAAGGCCCATTAATTCAAAATAAAAGATTTTTAGTTTTTTTTTTTCATCTATTGCTGATATTTATAAAATATCCTATAACAAAATGCATTGCCCCATAAAGGTGTAGCTTCAAACCCCTACAGCCCTAAATATGTAAAGAGCTATGATTGCAGTACATTTACAAGAGCTCAGTTCCTCCCACATTGACTTTTATCTAGTGTACTGTGTTACCTGCCTGCAGACACAAGATGGCGTATTTGCTCTATTTTGTTCACCTCTATTTTGGAGTTTGTCATAGTTTTTTTTTCAGTGTTAGGTTGAGAAGATGTTCAACAAAACACAATCCCTGGGTTTATGGGGAATTTTATGGACACAAAATACATTTTAGTCCTAAGTAATTTTAAAAGGCCCCTACTAGACACTGGAAATGATGTAGCCTATGTGGCTTAGTGTGGTTTGTCATTGTCATTATGTCATGGGATGAGTAGGCTATTCTCTTTTCCCTCTACTTTAGTTTGTAAGTGTGCTATCCAAGCACTGAAACAAAGTAGTGGTTTACACAGCAAAAGTGATGCTTATGGTACACCTTCATAATTAACATAACATAATCAGGCGATGGATTTAAAATGTGCTTTGGACACATTAAGAATACCTTGTTCATAATTGTATATGATTTAAGTGTATGGTTTATTAAATATGTATGCTGCTCAAGGGTTTCCTTTTCTTTTTTTCCAAGATTTATTTTTGTGCTTTTTGTGCAAGGGTTTCCTTTTCAACATGTATTTTAAATAATGTCATTAAATTAGTTTGAGTCCTAATCCTGCAACCTTTTACGCTGCAGGATTGGGTCTTGTGGTTGGAGTGATTATCAAAGGCCAGAATTCAAATGAAGGCTATTTGAATTGTTTTTAAATGGTAACCACATGAAGACTCCAGTCAAGTGTGATGAGTACTTACATCGCTGCATCGAGTTAAATTTACATGTGAAGGCCTTGATGGTGAGGAGTGACTGATCAAACATGGTCTCCGCTGGAGGCAGCCTGAGTGTCACCTCCCTCAAACACAGATTACAGGGACAGCACAGAGGATGACAACATTTAGGAGGACATCAGCTATTATCATAGGGATATCATAAGGATGGCACACCCAGTGTCACTGACAACTACTGTACAAGTGACTTGACTACTCACATATGTCATGCTAAAATCTGTGATGGAGAAGGTTCCCAGTTTAGTCTGTATTAAAGTCTACAATCAAATTTGACACACACAAAAAATAGAAAAGCACAAACATGGAGGGGATTAAAAACATTTGCTTTTCCCCATTTTATATTCCCACACCACAAGAGAGCAGCGGAGTCTTTGTCTTTCTCCATAACCAAGAGACTTTGACAAGTCACAAAAGCAGTTTGAAAGTGTCATCAAATGACAGATACTGATTTCTGTATGTTAGGTCACTGGAAACATATTGTGAATATTAAAAAAGCAGTTTGCTAAAGGCCATTTTTTGTAAAAGCCATTGTTTGTCTGGAATAGATTCAAGATGTTTGCAGGACAACACTCACACTCACCCAAATGTCGTGTAATAACTGAGTGTGATTGTGATGTCTATTTGAAAAATACCACTTCACCCAATAAGATGACTCAGAATGCAACTTGTTGTCAAGAGGGCTGGAAAACAAGTCCAAAACAACAAGTTTTGACATACCATAAAAAAAATTTGTGTGCATATTTTGTTGTTGTTCTAATACAAACTGTAGCCTAAAGAGCCACAGGGTCTCATCCCGCACACCAAAACAATAAGCAAACATCTTGAATGAAGACCCTGGTTTGCACACATGGTTGACAGAGCGGGCGCCCTACACAGGTTAAAGCCCTCAACGCATCTGTCGCAGGTTCGACAAGCGCCAGGGATGTCTAATCAGTAAAGGCAAAAAAACGGTTAAACAAGTAATTTAAAAAAGAACCTGCCAGCAGCACACATCTAATACATCCTCTTGGATGGACCCTCTTCAAATTGTTCCTTTTGAGTTATAACACATAAACCATGAAATTGACTGAAAATTTGAAAACTGATTGAAATTTGGTGGTTCTTGAAGCTGATGTGTTTGTCCGTCTGCTATGTTAGCTTCCCCTGACTCAACACACAAACCTATACACACACACACACACACACACACACACACACACCCATTCTCTGTTGTGTGAGTGATGCATTTATCTTTAGAGGAAAGGTGGAGGGAGGACAAAATGAGATACACAGCTTAAAACAGTCACAAGGCAGGTAGTTAAAGATGTGTGTGTGTGTGTGTGTGTGTGTGTGTGTGTGTGTGTGTGTGTGTGTGTGTGTGTGTGTGTGTGTGTGTGTGTGTGTGTGTGTGTGTGTGTGTGTGTGTGTGTGTGTGTGTGTGTGTGTGTGTGTTAGTTTGAAACATGCTGAGCAAGCTAGTGAGCCAGTGATGTAGTAAACAGAGGTTTGTCTGATCACAGCCACTTTAAAAGAGCATGTTCTGGTTGTCACCATGGAGACAGACATTAAATCCCTCTGGTCTAGACCGATAATCTATAGACTTTAATATCTGGTGAGGTGGAGAGACATTTTCCAACTGGAGACATCCTCCGATAGTGTGTGTGTGTATGTGTGTGTGTGTGTGTGTGTGTGTGTGTGTGTGTGTGTGTGTGTGTGTGTGTGTGTGTGTGTGTGTGTGTGTGTGTGTGTGTGTGTGTGTGTGTGTGTGTGTGTGTGTGTGTGTGTGTGTGTGTGTGTGTGTGTGTTGTTGCAGAGCGGCTCTTTCCCAGACCAGTGATAAGTGTCACCTCAGTGGGGGCTTTGACACCTGGGCGGGTGTAAAGGTGGGGTGAAGTGGGGCGTGAGAAGTCTGGGGTTCACACCTCATTGACGTTAGGAGATGATCCTGTAACTAACCTCCTAATAAACACACCAACACACAAGCATCAGCACACACACACATACTGGCA